TCAATACCTCAAAGAAAAGTGACTCTCTGGGATCACACAAAGCCAGGATCCTGGCCTCCCCATCCAGTTCTCCCTCCTCCACTCTTCCATGATCTTTAACCTTTAGCAACCCATGACACTTTCGAATCTGGCATCCGGTCTGTCCACTTTACCTCAACATCTTTGGTGAGATGGGCAGGGAATGTCTTACTATGCCCATTACACAGCTGGGAAGACTGAGGCTTGGAGAACCTTCTGAGCCACCAGGTACCCCCCAAACACTGGAGGATTTGCCAGTGGTGAAGATAAATTTGGGGGCTGGCGTCTACCCTCCACCCAGCCCTGCCCTGTCAAGGAAGCCTACCTTGGTCTGTTCCTGTGCAGGCCCCTCTGGAGTCTTGCAGGTGTTTTCCAGGTCTTCAGTGGGACACCATCGACTTCAGGGCCAGGCCTCCTCTGCTTCCCTGTCTTGCTGAATCTTCTCTGGAGACAGCTCCTCACACTGCCCCCCACTTGACTTCCCGTCAAGTGCTGGGTGGCCCTGAGGCTCCCCCCACTTCCACCCCACCCCCTGGCTGAAGGGCTGGGTGCAACAGGGGCAGAGAACCCCAGGCCCCTGGCCAGATTGTGCCTGACAGGTGGGGCAGGGTCTTCAAGGTGGCCGAGGGGAAAAGTGGGGCTGGGGCTGGGGAGGGGGCGACCCTGTGCCCAGTGCCCCTACCCAGTGCTGCGTGGCAAGGCCGCTGGGACCTGAGTCACAACTGACTGGGCCGCACCCAGCCTGCCTGGGTGACCCAGGCCAGCATAAGGCGATGACTGAGCAGCCCTCCGCATGACCGGCCGGGGTCGGCCTTAGGTGTTTTGACTCAGACCTGCCACAAGCCGTGTGCACCAGGGCCATGCCCCTTGTCCCTGTCCCCAGAAGAGTCACAGGGCCGCAGCTGCCCCCCTGGACACAATGCCCCCCCAAGCCACCACACGCCTCCTGGGCACCCACCTCAGAACCCTGGAGTCACCTGGCCCGTCTGGTTGGCCCTCCTCCACAGGCTCCAGGGCCCCACCTGCCCAACCCACCTCCCTGGGAGACCTTCGCCCCTCCCCGAGCCAGGGAGCAGAGCCCAGCCCTTGGGGCCGCCCCAGGAAGCAGGGAGTGGGGCTGGCCAAGTGGAAGGCCTCCCCAGCGCTCACCGTGGACTGTGAGCCTTGCCTCAGCATGGAAAAGGAGGTCTGTGTGCACTCTGGTTCCCAGGCCTGGTGTGGAGGGTAGGAGGGCAGGGGGACAGGGGCACAGAGAGAAAAGCCATGAAGAAAGCAATAAGGAAAAGGGAAGATGAGAGAAAACACAGAGAACGTTGCTTGTGCACCTGCTCAGTAGCAGCTTGCAATAATGCCGAAATAGTGCAATATGTGTGTTGTCTCCTGGGAAACCTGTCACAGCCAGGGCGGTGGGCCAGGTTAGCCCATTGTACAAAGGGAAATGCTGAGGCTCAGCCCAGGAGGTCACACAGCTTTAAGGGCAGGGTGGCTGGGGTTTTAACTCATTTTGCTTAACTCTCAAGTTATTTTCTCATCCCTGGAGAAAGAGGAGGGGGGAAAAATCACATTACTAGTTGGTGGACAGTGAAGGCCATGGGGGCCAAAGACCTGGTTCTGCCGTTTGCAACGTGTGAGTTTGTTTTGTGGGTAGGTAGTAAGTACACCCATCCCCACCTTTTCCCAGCAGTTTCCCTGCCCTCTGGGCCCTTGTCCTGGGGAGCTTTCCATCCTGTGTGTTATATGCAGTTGATTGAGGATCTGTCACCTTGAAAAACTTGAAAAAGAAAAAGAAAATCTGGCTTTGAGTTGAGCAAAAATTCCTGAGCCTTTGTCCCTTCACATAACCCCTGGGGACAAAGCATACACTGTCAGCTCACAGGGTATTGCCACTCCAGGAAAATGTGCCTTGTAGAGGATCAGCTCCTTCTGATGCACAAAAGCATTATTTGGGCCCCTGACCCACTGCCTGTCACCGCGATGATTGTGGAAACCCCAGACTCACCATCAAAGAAAGCTTATTCTGACTTGAGAAATGGCACCCTGCAGGCTATCTGCAGGCCACCCATGGCCCCCAGGGAAGCCCCCATAAACCCTTCTGGATGAGGGAATCAAGGAGGAGGGGGCATTTGAGCTGGAGCTCTGGGCGGAAGGATAGGAGGCTGAGGCTGGGGATGGAGGGTAGGGGGGAAGTGCAGGTTTCAGGAGGTCAGGATGCCTGGATGGGCTAGGGGGCCAGCAAAGCATGGATCAAACACAGACATGAGCTGGCAAAGCTGAGCGGGCATGAGAGCAGGGGCTTGGCCTGTTACGATGAGGGGGTTGGAATTGGTACCACAGCAATAGGACAGGAAGGAGTCACTGAAGGTTTGGGAGAAGATATGGTAGCAGTGACATTTTTGACCGTGTCCAGGGAGCCAGGACCTGATTGGCTGTCGGGAGAGCAGGAGGCGTGTGCCAGAGATGGAATGTGGGAGAAATCGAGGGACCTTATGACCAACAGAGAGAGGAGAGGCTGAGAGAGGTGAAGGTAAGGACTGGGTTCTGGACTTCTGTGGGGGGAAATAGGAAGCAGAAATCAGGTGTGGAGTGGAGGTGACCCTGGTATCAAAAGGGCTCCCAGCAGATGTTCTTAGAAGTTGGGTCTGTAGGCTTGGGAGAGCACCAGACTGGAGATGGCAGTTTGTGGACACCTTCCGCTGAGGTGACAAGTCCTCGAAGGTGAGACCCCTGAAACTCCCTCCCCAGATTCTGGAGTTTCTTGATCTGCTTCCTAAGGGGTGGGTACTGTTCCAGCTCAAAGCCAGACACCTCTCCGGAGGCTTATCCACAGAGTAAGGGGCTGGCAAGGAGCCCAGACAGGGGTGGTAGACAGCCACCCTGGGCTTCCCAGCTCTTCCTCCACAGACCAACCTCTGCCCACTCCGTGGGCAACCGCATGCCTACCGCAGCACCAGGTCCCCTTCCGCTCTGAGAACCTGAGCGTGCCTGGCTTTCAGTGTCTGCCACCTCCCACCCACAGCTTCCCAGCAACTCAGCCTGAGGAAAGCACCCCCACCCCCATACTGGGGAAGGGCAGAAAAGAGAGAGGCCCGGCCCCCTGCTGTTGGTGGCACCTGGATGGCCACCAAGCCAGCCTCTCTGGCATGCTGCTCACTCTTACTGGGTTCAGGCACTGTGCTGGGTGCTGAGGCGAAGCAGAGGGAAGCTGTTGGTGTCACCGTCCTCAGCAGCTCCAGGCTAGTGTGGGAGGCAGATGGTAAAACACCACAGCAGGTGAGAGCCTCCCAGTAGGACAGTTTTAAGAGAATAACCAAGTTGCTGGACCCAGACCATGGGTGGTAGGGAAGAATAGCGAGGATGCACTGAGCAAAACGACAGGGAACAGTGTTCCAGACAGAGAGGACAGCATAGGCAGAGGCCTCAAGGTAAGAGGGAGCCCTGGGCGTATCAGAAGCCAAAAGGTGGCTTGTGTGGCAGGATCCTCAAGAGCAAGGGAGAGCCCGGTAGGGGACAGTGGAAAGCTCTTACTAGGTACTTGGTAGGTTACCTGGAATACATTGGGCACTGCCAGGAAGACTGTTGGTTGGAAGTCAGGGTCCGGAGTTCTGCACTAGAGTTCCCTCTATAATTTTGAGTAGGATGCTTCGCTTCTCTGGGCCTTTTTGATATAAATCAGTGACGCACCCCATCTCACTATTTGCTGATTCTTGAATGCTTGGAGCCTTTGTCCTAGCTGTTTCCACCACCTGGGGGCCTTACCCCCTCTCCTGTGCCATCCAGGTTTCAGAGTGGATGGAGAGGCTTCACCTCTTCTAGGGCCATACCTGTTGCCAGAGGTTCTCACTCTGTGACATCACTCGCTTTAGTTTTGCAGAGCTCATACCCCAGTGTCCTGCTGGTTCTTCTGCGTGTCTGTTGCCTGTCTGCCCCCAGCCTGGGAGCTCTGTGCCCTCAGACATTCATGACATTGCTGGCCAAGTTACAGAGGTTGAAGAGTAACAGAAGATATTCTGGTATCTAACAGACCTGAATTCAGCATGTGCCTGCCCTCCCAGAAGATTTGTTCTGAGGACATGGGCAGGTCACTCAGTGTCCCTGAGACTTCTTATCTGCAAAGTGGATCGTATCTCTTGCAGAGAGTCCTGCCTGAGGCCCTCTTTCACCCCTGATGTTAAGTCCTTTTCCCATCTTGGCCCAGGAAGTGGGCCAGGGACTGATCCAAGTCAAGTTCATCCATCTCTGTTAGCTCTTCCTTTGTAGCTGCTGCCTCAGCACATCATCAGCATATATGCAACGTCATGTTGTGTACAACTTTAGGGTTTGCATTTAATCCTCAATTTATTATTTATATTATAGTCCTATTTACTAAGTGGGGAGGGGGCTCCTTTATATTGTGCTTCATCATTAATAACTCAATACCTGTTCTGTTTCTGGGATGTGGTATTTTTGTGCGTGTGCATTAAAAAATTTCAAAACTGAAAAAAATGGTGGGGTCATGAGCATCAGGAGGGAGCCCAGTGTTCTGGGGGCCAGATGGAATCCATACCCCCCTGGGGCCCTTCAAGAAACAGGTTCAAGCACACAGCAAGTCACAGTCCAAGTCTGAGGCAGGGTCTGTTACTTTCTTGTCCATGTCATGTAACACGCATGAACACACGCACCCCCAGTCACACACCTACAGAGGCCCACACATTCCACCTTCCCTTCCCTCCTCCCTTGCTCCCAAACCCTCTAGTCCCTAGCATCTCAAGGGAGTCGCATTCAGACACGATCAATGCCCTGTGTTTGAGATGCCCCCACAGTCTGACCCCCTCTTCCTCCAAGAGGCGAGATTCCCTCAAATTCTTTCCCAGAAGGAAACAGAGAGACACAGGGGCTTTAGAAACCAGGCAAGTTTTAAATATATGTTGGCACAATATTAACATTAAATACATATCATAAATAAGCCTTATAAATAGAAAACAGGTAAAAACTGATAAAAAAAAAATCGATAAATTAGTCATATCCCTGCAAAGAAATGGCCCAGCAGCTTCTGGGACTCCAGCATGAGAGTCTGGGATTCAGCATGAGAAGATTTCATGATGCACCACCAGGGGGAGGAGCCAGCAGCCAGGACCCAAGACTGGGTGCTTTCAGGCACCAGGTCTTTATGCCTTGTCCATTTGCACTGCATTTGATATCTACTCTATGTCACAGAATCCCAGTTACTGGCAAGCAGAGAGGGCTTTACACGGTCCCCAACCTTCTTGAATCACGAAGAGAAAACTGAAGTCCAGAGAGGTAAGGTGGCCTGCCTGAGGCTACACAGTGGGTTAGGGGTTGAGCGGGGACTTGAGTTCCCTTCTTAGACACCCCCACCCCAATCAGCACTCCTTCTAGGACATTTTGCCCGTGTCACAGCTGCCTAAGTGAGGTCACCCAGATGTCTAGGTGTCTGGCCTAAGACTGGCAATGAGGCATAGGAGGCCAGCTCAGGCCCTGACCTCCCCCTCAGAACCACACTGCCGTGGAAAGGAGGAAGTCTGGGGTCAACAGCCCTGCAAGTCATGAGAGGGAAGGGCCGGCAGGCCTCTGGGGAGCAGAGCAGGGGGGGCAGTCAGTCTGGCCATGAGTCAGCCTGTGTCATCAGACCCCTGAATCAATGGAAAGTTAGCCCCGCGTGGCCTGACCTGGCCACCCCACCGAGACTGGGGAACTCAGGGCTGGGGGCTCAATAGCCTGACTCTACCCTCTCAGCCTGGAGGAGGTAGAGGGGCCTGCCTGGCTCCCACCCCTTAAAGTGCACTTCTGAGAGGTGGGGAACAGAGGAGAGCTGGTTTGGAGGCGGGAAGGGGGGCATCCTACAGAGTACCTGCGAATCCTTAATCTGCCAGGGGTACCCCTAAGGCTACCGGGGCAGCCAGCCCCTGGGCATGAGTCTCTTGTTCCTCCTGGGGAGATGCATCCTGCGAGCCCCCTTCTGCAGGCCCCGGCGAGGGCTGTGTCTCCGGCTCCGACTCGGGCTCTCCCCCCACTCTCGGAAGACCTGCCCCACGGAGTGCATGAAGCGGTGGTAGCCATGCAGGAATCTGCAGCCCTCCAGCCTGCGCTGAAAGGCGTCTGAGATGGGGGTAGGTGATGGAGAAGCCCCTGGGCCTGCCAGAGTGGGCTCCGCCTTCTCCACGGAGCCCGGAAGCAGCTGGGCCATGCAGTGAATATTGTTCTTGAACCCGCGAATGTTCAGCTTCGCCATTTTTAGCTTCTCTAAGTCCTGGGCTTTGGGGATGTCCTTCTGTAAAGTTCTCAGTCTGTGCAGAACGTGATCCAGTGTGGTGGCAAGGATCTGCAGGAATTCCTGCCTGCTGAGCAGCTGCAGGGCATCTTTGCTGGGGAAGGTCCCGGGGCGTTCTCGGCAGTGCTCCTTCAGTCCATCCTTGTCCAGGCCATGGATGCTGATCTGGAGGGAAAGGAGAATCAGAGGGTGAGTGCTAGAGACACCACCACCACCATACACACACACACACACACACACACACACACACACACACACACACACACACGTCTGCTCTGGTCAGCCTTGAAATGCTCAACCTCATGTATCTCATGTATCCCATCCAATCCTCCCATTGTACAGATCAGAAACTGAGGCCAGAGAGGGGCAAGGACTCCCCGGTCACTGCAGGCAGGGACAGAAGGATGCTGGGGGGCTAGCTGGTTGAGGTGACTGTGCAAGCCATGATGGTAGTGTGAGGAGTTTGGCGAGGGGGTTAGGGGGGTGGGGAGGGTGGTAACTGTGAGCTTTTTTAGGAGGACGGGACTCTGTTTTGTTCACTGCTATATCTCTGAGGCCTACAGCAGGGCACACGGGTAGGTGTACATGGAGTTGAGGTTTTCACTTTGGCCCACTGAGCTGGGAAAGCTGTATTGTCTCCTTGGCATTTCAGAGTTAGGCCTGGAGTGTTCTGTGTAGCCCTGGAATAACAACAGGGACTTGGTTTCCCCACCTGCCCCATATTGAGTGGGGGTTGGGTGAATGGGAGTTGGGTCTCATCCTCTCTGGGCTCATTCCTGCCCTAGGCCTGCTGTTCTCTGAGACCCAGAAGCCACCAGGGGCCAGGCGCTCACATAGGGGTCCAGGAGCATGCTGGTGTGCTGCATGAAGTCCGCCTGCTTCTGGAGCTGCCCAAGGAGCTCTTGGTACTTGTCCAAACAGCTGCCCATGGCCGGCGTACTCAGGAACAGGAGTCCGAGGACCCGAAGTCCGAGGACCAGACCTGGGGCAGAGAAGGGGTGTGTCACCTGACTTGAGGAGGCAGGCGGCTTTCAGAGGGGAGGGCGCCTAAGAGGGCCTCAGGGGGCACAGCCCATCGCCTCAGGCTTCATGCCATCGAGGGGGGGGGCTGTCATCACCTCCCCCATAAGGCACTGCCCAGCATCCAAAACAGTGGCTGCACTTCACCATGCAGGCCTTTGAGAGGAGGCTGTGGGGCCCAGTTGGACCTCCTGCACTTGCCAATCTTCCCAACCTCAGGATCTGACACAGGGTAGCCCAGTGGGGCTGCTGCCTGCAAGACCTCGGGGTCCCCCATAGCAGAGCCTGGCCCTCCTTGCAGCTGGGCTCAGCCTGGGAGCATCCTGGTGCCCTGAGCTATGTCTGTACAAACAAAAGACACTCAATTTTACTGACAGGAAAATCAAGGCACTGAAGGAGAAGGGTTCACCCAGGTCACAAGGCTAGCATTATCCTGGATCTCTTACACCTTCCTCTCTCTCCCTTATTGGCCCACATCTGTCAGGCCCACCAGACATGCTGTGAGCCAGAATGTTCCGTGTGGGAGGAGCATAGTTACTGCTGGCCAACCTCCCCACACCCACCCCCCAGGCAACGGCAGCCATGTGGTCGGAAGGGGCCTGTGGCGCAATGGCCCGGAAGGCAGTGACACCATGTTCCCTTCCTAAGAACCGTTCAGCTGCTGGGGAGGGATGAGGGGCTGGCCACCCAGGCACGGCAACCACAAGGCACTCCTCACCACCTCTTCAGGTATCTGCTGCTGCCGGGTTGGCGGGGGGGCGGGGGTGTCCATGTGAGCACCATAGGCACATGGGACTAGGGTGTCTTCATGGGTATGTGTCCAAGTCTGTGTGAGGTGAGAGGAAGGAGCTGGCCACGAACAAGCATTGTGTGCAGTCGACCGTGGGGGCCCAGGCTGCATCTGGGGGTTCCCAGGTTGGTGAGATTGTGGGCTCTGAATGACATCACATGGCTCTGTGTGCATGTCACCCTGTGGGTGTGGCTATGTGTGCTGTGTGATTGTGTGGTTTCCAGGGTCCCTGGACCCAGCTAACTGTGTGTATCCATTCCAGACCCTGTGAATCAGGGCAAGAAGGAGGCCTCGCCGTCCCTCCAGACATCACACTGTTTTCCTGCTTGGCCTCTGCAGCTTACTCCTCTATCCAGCACGTCTCCCACCTCCCTCCTGCTTCTCTGGTTTCTACCCCAGTCTATCTCTTTCCCTCACTCTCTTGTTGCCTCAACATCACCTCTCTTTTAGAAGCCTGGAGATAGTCCTCCTCTACCTTGTAAAGATGCTGTATTCTCAGTGGACCACTTGCTTTGCCTGACCTCCCAGCTCTCCCCCTTCTCAGCATCCTTCTGGTGCTCAGCCTTTCCAGCTCCCAAAAGACAGAAGGTGCCCCTGCTCCCTACTGTTGCCCGTGGGCACAGCAAGTGGGTACTGGTGGAGAGGAAGGAAGTACTTACTGAGCAGTGTCCTCCTCATAAGCTGTGCCCGCATGCTGGGTGCCCAAGCTCCGGCCGGCGCCTGCTGGGGGTGACACCTCCTGGCTGGGAGCCCTGCGGGCTAGCAGCCACTTTATGCCCGCCAGGGCGATTGGCCAACACCTCGTGAGGTGGGTGGGGAATGGGGGGGAGGGGCAGGCCTTCTGGGAACATGACCCCAAAAACCAAAGTTTCCACGGGTGGCCAATGGGTGCTGGGTGCGGTGGCATGCCTGCTCCTCCTCCTGTTTTCTTCGAATTCGTTCTTCAAGGTCAGCCCCACGCCCAAGGGTGATGCAAACCGCAGCCTCAGCCTTCCTGGGGCAAGTAGGGAGCATGGGGGTCCTTGCCATCTGCAGGGAGCTGTAGCCAGTATAAAGGGGAGAGTGTGCCAACTGGGGCCTTGGAGGACTTGTAGACCAGGCTTGGCCCAGGAGCCATCAGCCTCACCAGCCACTGTGGTTTGGGACTGAGGGGAGTGAGACATCTTCTTGAGTGCCCTTCCCGCCCTCCTGCTGGGGCTGTTGGGACATCTGTGAGCGGAAACCACCGGGCTCTGGGCACAGAGCCAGACCTAGGCTGGCAGCCCCGAGATTGTGGTTCTGGCCCCAGGACCTGCATCCCCTAGTGGGGCTCCCAGCCATCTCCTTTCCCCCATCATGCACCCTCCTCACACCCAATCTTCTTTATTCCAGGCCCATTGCCCACAGCCAGGCCCTTTCTTTACAGACAGGGTCCTCTGAGGGAAAACAGGCAGTTAAAGCAAGAGAAACAGGAGGTTAGCTTCAAGCCCACTGACATGCTGTGTGACCAGAGGCAAGTCACTTAACCTCCCTGGGCCTCAGAGGCCCCACCTGTAAAAGGAGGGTTCGAAAAGTATTTCCTGGTCCAGGCTCACAGAGCTGCTGCTGTCATGGACATAAAAGGCAAAAGTCTTTTGAAGAAAAAAAGAAAGATGAAACTCTAATTCCAAGTACTAGCTGTTGAGGGATGGTGTGAGGGACCGAGGAGATGGGGAAGCTGTGAGCTCAGAGGGGAAGCCAGGGCGGGGGAGTCGCCGTGGTGACGGTTGGGGACCAGGTTTCACTTTCTCTGAAAGATAGTGATTGTGGGTTGGTCCTCTGTTTCTTGCAGACCTCTGGACGTCAGAGTGAAGGAGCCCTGGAGATCACACCTCTCTAGTCAACCTGTTACTTTGTTTAGGGCGAAGTAAGGCCTGGGCAAGGGCAGACAAGGGGCTGGAAAGGCTGGCCCCGGCCTGCAGGTCGTGCCTGGCACCCCCAGCATATCTACCAGGCCTGAAAGGGGGTCCTTGGCCTACACCCTCAGAAGCCCAGTGGGGAGGGGGCCTCTGAAGGTTGGGAACCAGGGTGGGGCCTTTGGAAGCTGCCAGGGAGGCCTGGGCTGCTCCAGCGGGGGAGAGCACTGGGCCCGTGGAGCCTGGACAAGGAGAGCTGAGGTGGCCGGGAAGGAAGAGGGTCAGGCACTCTCCTGTCCATCCGTGTTCCCAGCACCCATCATGACCACCAGGGCTGTTCCGGCCTGCTCTCTCCTCTGTATACATGCCTACCATCACTCATTTATTTGTTCAAAAATTTTTATTTGGCCCTACTCTGAGCCAGCCATTCCCAAGTGCTAAGGATCCAGTAGTGGGGAAAACCAGACACACCCCCATGCCCAGGAGGCTGCTCGTCACCCTCCACCCACTCTCTGGCACCCCAGCATGGCGCTTACCACACCCACCAGCACCACCCCCAAGGGCCAGTTCTGGATTCTCCTCCTTAGAGCGTCGCTTCTGCTAAATTCCTCATCTCTATGTCCACCCCCACAAGACAGTTTCTTGGGGCCCATGCCAAGCTGGGATCCTTCTTCATTTCACATCCCTGATCTCATCTTGCAACAGCCCTGAAAGGGAGAGCTCCCAGGCAGGGATGCTTTGGCTCCTTTTAATGGGGAAACTGAGGCTTGGCTCCAAGCAGAAAAGCTACATCCAGCGGGAGAGCTTCTTGTCCCTCTCAGCTACCGCAGATAAACCTCCACACTCAAGAGAAAGCTACCTGCCTTTACTTTCCTGTATCTGCATCACCCTGTGTGGAAACAGTTAAGAGGAGGGGACATTCAGGGTGCCTGGGTTCAGTCAGTTAAGTATCCAACTTCAGTTCAGCTCATGATCTCACAGTTTGTGAGCTCGAGCCCAGTTTGTGGGCTCGAGCCCTGCATCAGGCTCATACCGACCGTTCAGAGTCTGCTTCAAATTCTCTCTCTGTCTCTGCCCCTCCTAAACTTGCTCACGTGTGCTCTCCCTCTCTCTCAAAATAAATAGACTTAAAAAAGAAAAGAAAGAAGAGGAGGGGGCATTCAAACCAGGGCTGTCAAGTCTAAAAGACGACTCTCTGATCACGTAGCTAATGGAGGTATGGTGTGCAGGCCCCAGGGACAGGGCCACCAAAGGCAAAGAGGGTTTCTATATTAGTTTGCTTGGGCTGCTGTAACAAAAGAGCACAAAGGGAGGCGCCTGGATGGCTCAGTCAGTTAAGCGCCTGACTTCAGCTCAGGTCATGATCTCTCGGTTCGTGGATTCAAGCCCCATGTTGGGCTCTGTGCTGACAGCCAGTTAAGAGCCTGGGGCCTGTTTCAGATTCTGTGTCTCCCTCTCTCTCTGACCCTCCCCTGCTCACGATGTCTCTCCCTCTCAGAAATAAATAAAACATTAAAAAAAAAAAAAAGAGCACAGAGGGGCAGTACATCAACAACGGGAAGGCATGTTGGCACCATCCTAAGTCTGAGACCCACGTGTCAGCAGGGTGGATTTCATCATGCAGCCTCTCTCCTTGACTTATAGATGGCTGCCTTCTCATCTCCTCTCATGGTTGACCCTTTGTCTATCTTAATCTTATAAGGACATCAGTCATATTGTATTAGCCCCACCCCACCCCCACAATGACCTCATTATACCTTACTTCTTTGAAAGTCCTATCTCCAAATACAGCTACATTCTGAGGTACAGTGGGGTTAGGTCTTTAACATATACATTTAAGGGATAAAATTCAGCCTATAACAGCTTGCAAGAAGAGGGCATGGCTGGAGGGCTGCAGGGAGTGGGGATGATGGGGGAGTGTTCAGAGTTCAGTGGGAGGGGACAGTGATGTGCAGGAGGACAGGGAGTGGCCCCAAGGTGAGGAGACCCAGCTAGTCAACAGAGCAAAGCATGAGGGGAAGATGCGTCAGCATTTCTGATGAGGTCAGCACCCAGTGACGTCCCTCTTGCCAGCAGGAAAAGCTTGCAACATGGCCCAGCCAGTATAAATAGGCTCCCCGACCACAGGCCCGGGCTGTCCCCTCTTCCAAGGCCACGTCAGCTAGGTCCTCGTGATTTGGAGGGGGAAAGAGGGCCAGCTTTGTTCCTTAGAACTGCTGTTTCCATATCTTTCCGGCCCACCCTCCGGCTGTAGGGCTCTACTGCTTTAATTTAAATGCAAGAACAAGACCTGGGGTGACCTTGGGGGTGGGTCAAAATGGGAGGCAGGAGGCCATTCATCTGGGAAGAGAGACAGTGATCTCTGACCAAATAGGGTGGGAAGTAGAGATCCATCCAGTTACCAGTCTCAATCTGCTTATGAGCTCAGTGCTCTTGGCCCAGTCACATCCTCTTTCTGAGCCTCAGTTTCTCCTGTGGACTGCTGTGCCACAATTTATCAATGAAGAGACAACCCAATTTTAAAATGGGCAAAGGAGAAATGAATAGGCATTTCTTCAAAACAGACAGACATGTGGCCAGTAAATACATAAAAAGCTGCTCAATATTGTTAGCCATCAGGAAAATGAAAAATCAAAACTGCAGTGAGGTACCTCTTTATACCCACTAGGGTGGCTACAATCAAAGATGGACAATAACAAGTATTGGAGAGGACATGGAAAAACCCAAAACCCTCACACGCTGCTGGTGGGAATGCAAAATGGTGCAGCCGTTTCGGAAGGCAGTCTGACAGACCCCCAAACCTTTAAACATTAGAGGTGTCAGATAGTTCACTGTATGAACTACACACACACCCCCCAGAGAATGGAAAGCATACGTTCGCATAAGAATTTGCACAAATATTTACAGCAGCATTTATTCACAATAGCCCAAAAGTGGAAGCAACCCAAATGTCCATCAGCAGAACATGGATTTTAAAACTGTGATATATCCACTCAATGGAATATAATTCAGCCACAAAAAGGAATGAAGTACAGACACATGCTACAATGCGGATGAGCCTCAAAAACATTATGCTAAGTGAAAGAAACCATTCAAAAACGGCTGCTGTATGGCCTTCCACTTACGTGAAATGTCCAGAGTAGGTTAATTCATAGAGATAGAAAACACCTGAGTGGTCACCAGCGCCTGGAGGGATCTAAGGATAAGGAGTATGGGTATGGGGTTTCTTTTGGGGTGATGAAAATGTTTTTGAATTAAATAGTGGTGATGGTTGCACAATCTTCTGAATATACTAAAACCCACTGAATTATACTTCAAAATGGTGAATTTGATAATATACATATCTTGTATCTCTATTTTTAAAAATGCAGTGGCAAATGCTACCTCAAGAGGACAGTGAGGGTGGTTCAGTGGACAATGCTTGCAAATGCCTAGCTCATAGCAAATGCTCAATAAATACCCACAAACCACTGGGGCAGACAAAGGCGTACATTTGCTTATGTCATAGCATGGTTTTGAGGACAATTGGGAAAGACAACGTTACATAAACCCTGGGGTGAGCAAGTTATCTACCAGGGCCCTCCCCATGAGGCCAGCGAGGTCATCCTGGACTGGAGGATCCTTTGGCTTGAGATGTGCCACAGAATTCTTCTGGGACCTGGTGTGTTCACAGTGTGGGAAGCCTCTGTGTGTCCAGTGGCTCCCCCAAATTGGGTAACTTGAGCCCCCTTCCAGAGACCTGAACATCTATTCAGAGAAATGCAGCAGAGAGACAGGGATAGAAGGAACTCACTTCTGTTCAGGAGTCTCACTCTCTGTGGCAATGGGGCAGAGGGCAGAGGGAATGCATCTACTCTGAGGTGGGATGACCGGGAGATAAGAGCACTGCC